CGGGCCCGCTCCTCCCCCCCGGCCGGCCTGCGGGCGGCCCCGACGGCCCCGACGGCCGCCTCCCGCCCCTCCAGTGTGAGCGCGCGTGTCCGCGTGCTGCTTGTGTGTGCACGTGGGAGTTTGTCGGAGTGCGCGGGTGGGCATGTGTGTTTGTACACGCGTGTGCGCGCGGCAGTGGCTGTGCCTGGTAGGGGGGTGTACTGTATACACTCGGGGGTGTATTTGGGACTGGATGTGCGCTTGGCTGAGTGCGTGTATGTGACTGCGGGTGTGCGTGCATGCTTTGTGTGTGTGGGAGTGGATGTGTCTGGTAGGGGGGTGCATGCTGTATACACTTCGGGGTGCGTGTGTATGCTTGTGTGTGCATTTGGGAGTGGGGGGGTGTTTGAGTGTGCGGATGGGAATGTGTGTTTGTGTGTGGGAGTGGATCTGTCTGGTGGGGGTGTGTACTGTATACACTTCGGGGTGCGTGTGTATGCTTGTGTGTGTATTGGGAGTGGGTCTGCATTTGTCTGAGTGCATGTGTGTGACTGTGGGTGTGTACATGCTTGTGTGTGTGGGGGGAGTGGGTGTGTCTGGTGGGGGTGTACTGTATATACTTGTGTGTGTGTGGGTGTGCATTTGTCTGGGTGCATGTGTGTGTGTTCATGCTTGTTTGTGCATGTGTGTAAGTGGGTGTGTCTGGTAGGTGGGGCGTACTGTATATACCTGTGTGTGTATGCATGCTTGTGTGTGTATTTGGGAGTGTGTGTGTATGTAGGAGCATGGATGTGTCCATCAGGGGTGTGTATACTTGTATGTGTGTGTAGGAGTAGATATGTCTGTAAGGTGTGTGTGTACACTTGTTTGTGTGTGTGGCAGTGTGTACACACTTGTCTGCGTGTGTGGGAATGGATGCGTTTGGTGGTGAAGTGTATATGCCTGTATATGCCTCTGTGTGTATGCCTGTGTGTGTATGCATACATGTGTGTACATTTGGGAGTTGATGTGTGTGTGCGTGTGTGTGTGTAGGAGCATACTAGAGGTGTCTATTGGGGTGTACACTTGTCTGTGTGTGCCAATAGAAGTGTTTGTAAGGTGTGTGTGTGTGTATACTTGTGTGTTTGGGAGTGGATGTGTCTTTGGGGTGTGTGGATATGCTTGTGTTTGTGTGTATGTGTATGCATGCTTGTGTGTGTGTTTGGGAGTGGCTGTGTGTTTGTCTAAGCATGTGTGTGTAGGAGTGTGGATGTGTCTATCAGGGGTGTGTACACTTGTCTGTGTGTGTCAGAGTAGATATGTTTGTAGGGGTGTGTGCATATGCTTGTTTGTGTGTGTTTGGGAGTGGATGTGTCTGAGGGTGTGTGATGTGTCTGTGTGTGGGAGGTGCATATGTTTGTGTGTGTGTGTGTGCATGTCTAGAAGTGTGGATGTGTCAACGGGAGGTTTTACACTTGTCTGTATGTGTCTGGGAGTAGATATGTCTATGGAAGGTGTACGCTTGTTTGTGTGTGTGCTTGGGAGTGGATGTGTCTGTGTGTGTATCTATATTCTTTTGTGTGTGTGTGGGAATGGATATGTCTGTGGGGGGTTACTTTTGTCCATGTGTGTGAGTAGATGTGTCTGTGTGTGCAAGGGTGTATGTGTGTGTGTGTCTAGGAGTGTGGATGTGTCTAGTGTGTACACTTGTGTGTGTGTGTGTGTGTGAGCAGATGTTTCTGGGGGGTGTATATGCTTGTTTGTGTGGGTGTTTGGGAGTGGATGTGTCTGGTGTGTGTGTGTGTATGTTTGTGTGTCTGTCTGTGTTATGTGTGTCTGCGGGGTTATATGTGTATATATACTTGTGTGTCTGTGAAGTTTGTGTGTGTCTAGGAATGGATGTTTCTGTGCAGGGGGTGTGTATACGCATGTGTGTGTGTGTGTGTATGTGCCTGGGAGTGGATGTGTCTATGGGGGTGTGTACACTGGTCTGTGCGTGTGTGTGTGTCCTGGAATAGATATGTCGGGGGGGTATGCTTGTTTGTTTGGTTGTTTGGGAGTGGATGTGTCTGGTGTGTGTGTGTGTGTGGGTCTATGTGTGTCTAGGAGTGGATGCATTTGTGGAGGAAGGGGAAAGTGTATATACTTGTGTGTCTGGGTGCCTGAGAGTGGATATGTCTATGGGTGTGTGTGTATGTGTGTATATACTTGTGTGTGTGTATCTGAGAGTGGATATATCTGTGGGGATGTGTGTGTATATACTTGTGTGGGGGGGAATGGATGTGTCTATAGGGGTGTGTGTATATGTGTATGCTTGTCTGTAGGGGGGGGTGTGTGAGTGGATGTGTTTATGGGGTGTGTGTAAACATTTATGCTTGTGTGTGTGTCTGTGTGTATGTGGCTGGGAGTGGATACATGCATGTGCATGTGTTCTGAAGTGGATGTGCCTGGGAGGGTGGGTGTATATGTGTGCTCGCTTGTCTGTGTGTGTGTTCGTGTCTGGGGGTGGATGTGTCTATGGGAGGGTGTGTATACACGTATACTTGTCTATATGCATGTGTGTGTGGTGCCTGAGAGTGGATGTGTCTAGGGGGTGTGTGTGTATGTAGGTATGCCTCTGGGTGTGTGTATGTGTTACAGAGTGGATGTGTCTATGCAGGGGTGTATATAGGTGTGTGTGTGTGTGTGTGTGTGTGTGTGTGTGTGTGTTACAGAGTGGATGTGTCTATGCGAGAGGTATATATAGGTATGCCTCTGTGTGTGTGTATGTGTTACAGAGTGGATGTATCGGGGTGGGGGGGATGTATATGTATGTATGCTTGTCTGTGTGTGTGTGTGTATATCTGAGGTGGTTGGGTCTACAGGTGTGTGTGTTTGCATGAGCGTGTGTGAGCATGTGCTTTTTTGCTGCATGTGTATGCTTGTCTGTGTGTGCAGGGTGGGTGTGTCTACAGGTGTGAGCATGTGTAGGCATGTGCCTATATGCTTGCCTGCATACATGTGCATGTGTGTGTGCTCTGTGTGTGTGAGAGATTGTATGTGTTGGTGTGCACGCACATGTGCACTTGTTGGTGTATACAGGCAAGTCCGCGTGTGCCTGTGTACATGCGCGTGTCCTGTGCCCGTGTCCCTTGGCTGTGGCTCCATCCCGGGCCCCCTCCCCAGTGACTGAGCGGGCCTGGTGCCCTGCGCTGTCCCCGTGTGCGACTGGGGCGGCGAGCAGCCTCACCCTGGGGCGGGCAGGGGTGTGTGCACGCGTGCACGCGCGTCGGGCCCTGGGGCTGTCGCCAGGACACAAGCAGGGGCTGTGTCGGGCTGCGGGTGCCCGGCATCTTCCCCCACAGCCGTGCCCGTCTGGGGCTGCGGGTTTCTCTGCTGTCTGGTCATTCATCGGTTAACGTTTCCATTAATCCCTTTTCGAGGCAAATATCTCCCTTTCCATCTTCCTTCTAAGCAGCCCTGTCCTCCTCCCTAATTGAATCAGCTCACTTTCCCCTCATCAGACCCCGGGCTGTTGTGCTAGGCTTCTCGGCGGATGCACACGCGAGATACCCAGCTGGGAGGGGAGGCCGGTGCCCTGCACCCAGGCAGGGGGGTGCAAGGGGAGGGTGGTCTGCATGCCAAGGGCAGGGGGGGGCAGAGATGCCAGCACCCCGGGGCCTCGGGCTATGGCCCTGTCACAGCGGGCCCAGGGGAGGAGAGGATGGAGCTCAAGGGCATCCCCAGCTGTGTCTGGGGGACACCTGCCCTGGCTGTACTGCAAGGGACGTGGTGCCAGGTGGCCCAAAGGATTTGGGGAGCCCTGGCCGGACCCGGACCCAGCCCCAACTGCGGTCCCTTTGCACCAAGGCTGGGCTGATCCCTGGACCATGGTGCAAAGGAGGGCTTTGCAGCACAGCCTCTGTGTGTGTGTGTAAAAGAGAGAGAGAGAAGGGCACGACTGTATTTGTAGCAGCAGGCATAGGAGGGGGACGGGTGTGTGCATGGGAGGGGACGGGTGTGCAGGCACAGGGCACTGTGTGAGGTGCGTGCCCAGCTGGGCCGGCGCGTGGGGCTGTCGGTGGCACACACCCGTGCACCCCAGACATCCCCGCGGCGTGCACTGAAGCGCTTCTGGCGTGTGTGTGCATGCTCTGTGTAAGCAGGGGAGGGATGGTTCGTGCATGTTACCTGTCCGGCACACGGGTGCGCGCGTGTGCTAAGTCCTGATGGAGGGCATGGGCGTGTGGTTGGGGGGCTGCCCTCACGTGTGCTTCCCCTGGGCTTTTTGTTTCCCTTCCAGCGAGCGCCGGAGAGCCCCGGGTGAGGGCCACAAGCCCAGGGCAAGGCCTCCCCGTGCCAATCTGCACTGGGGGCAGGTCAGGGTGGCACCAGGCTCTGCTCCCCAAACGTCCTCCTTGTGCCTGGAAACACGTGCAGAGAGCCTG